TTGTCTGCAGTGCTCACAGGATGATTCTGATAGTTTTCCATTGCTATGTTGAACGACTGTAATGGTACAGAAATTTAAGGCTATTAACTTCCTTTCCTTCACTGGGATTGAGTTCTCTATTTTTTAAAGGGACTTTGGTGCTTTCTGTAACTTACTGAAGACTGACATGGAAGAAGTCCAAAAATGAAAAGTGCTCCTTAATGAAATTCCTAAGTCCAACCTCCTGCGTTCTTAGGATTTGAGTTAGGTAGCAATTGCTGGCTTTAGAGTCTGGAGTTTTCTTTGTGACAGCAGTTCTGAGCCCAGATTTAAGATCAATGAACATTTGAATTTAATTGCAATGAGTTAGGTTATTACCATTTATATGTGGTAACGAAGGCAAATTTTGCTAACTTTCTTTGATTTTTCATGTTCACTTATTGCTCACTGGATGATACGTATCTTTATTAATAAGCAATTAAAATAGCTGGAGTCTTGGACCTTGCTTGCAACATAGACTAACATGGCAATATTTTAATTAAAAAGTTGAATTGCTATAAAAATGCATAGATAACGTTTTACATTAAAACATAAGTAGAAGTAGCATTTGTAAAGTGTTTGTATTTTTGATATATATATATGTGTGTATATATATATATATATATATATATACACACACACATACATATATAGAATAAAATTTAAAGTCTATTCTCAATACCCATAAACAGTAATAGTATGTTTTTTCCTATTTTTTACCTTTAGTCCATTATTTAGTTGTTGGTTTGGGCTGCAGCAATGGCTATCCACATTATTGTTACAAGAATACTTTTCCTAGATTACCATGTAATTATTCTCTATTAGTGAAGTCTGCAGGAAAGAGGTGTCACAAATAATAGATAACAGGGAGTCGGGGAGAAAAGTGAAGAAAGGATGGAGAGGAGTTTAGTGCTTTGATTTTCACTATATACTGATGATGTGGTAAATGATATTTTTCTGCTCTGTTTACCTGCTGCTAACATAAACAAAGTTAAATTCCCTTTCTGGTCCATAACAAGTGACATGGCAATGAGGAACGTCTCCTAGAAATCAAAGTGCCACAAGTCACTATTCTGTGCTTGTTCTGGAAGGGGATATTTGAAGGGCAAATGAAATTCCCCACAGATGTCATTTCTGGGCCACATGTACAAGTATGTGCTTACAAAGCCTTGTTACCCTGGAAAGTTGGAGTGATCACCAGTAGGCCTCAAATTTGTGTGTAAAAAACCGTGCAGTGATGGAGATATGGGAAATCCTCCTGCACTTAAACAAGAGTGCCATATCAGACCCAGTAACAGCTGTGAAATATGTTGCTGTTGCTTCATCTCTGGATTTTCTGTAGGTGTTACTGAAGCGTTTCTTATGCATGGGGGCATGTTTAAAGAAACTTCTGTAGACACAGTAGTTATTGAGTAGTTATTGAGGTTTGTAAGACAACTGTGAGTCATACTTCAGGATTGCAGAAATGGATACAATTTGTAGGATTTGAGCAGATGGCTATTTAGAACTATACAAGTAACAACACTGGGATCCTGCAGTCGATACTTAAAGAGAGTAAAGTAACAGGAAATAATACGCTCCTGTGTGGAGCCTTGTAGAGCTCCAGGAGCATATGTAGAAACTGGTGGATCTTTGCAGATCACCATGGCATATTAATGGTGGGCTACTTTGAATCTGCTAGAAGCTGGTCCCACACTGTGCGAGTTTCGAACTGAGACCAAACTGCTGTAACAGTTTCTTTACTGGAACCTCTGTAAGAACTGTTCTAAGGCCCTGTGCACTTTGTGCTATATTGATGATGCGTGCTTATTTTGTATTGGGTTATACAGGAAAGCATACTTGGCAAATGCAAAAATTGTAGCACAAATGCCTTTAACTGCTTATAAGTGTCTGCAATACCTTATAACAGTAAATTTAAATTAACTGAATTGGAATACTTGTGTTCCTTTGGAAACTGTAAGAGACACCAGTTGCACTTGTATATTGGAGCTGATGGTAAGGACAGAGAAACTAGATAATACCTTATATGCTATAATTAGGTGTTAAATACTGGAAATCTTGCATTATCAAATGTGATATCTCTACATGTATTGAGAAAATGAATTTTAGGGCACTTACATAAAGAATCTATGCAGTAGTGTGGTGTGGTGTGTGTGTAGTGGTTTGTTTGTTTTTAAGGAAGGGAGAAGGAAAAAAGGAAATGAAACAGCCTTATGAATGTCCATAATATTTTAAAAGAAAAAAAATATATATATATGGTAGCTGTTCTTTCCGGTGTGCTACTTCATTTCAAAATGGTTATATCGGCAGCCCAAGCGTCATTGATTGCACTCCCAGAAATTAGATAGCATTTCGGGTAATATGTTAACACAGAGGGAATTCAGGACCATGAATGTTTACCATACTTGCTGTAACAATCTTGAATAATTTCTTTCATATGCTTGTAAAACATCATTTAATTCTCTCTCATCTCAGAATTCAGCTTTTCAGAGCAGTATTTTCTCTTGTCAGTTCTCTTCAGCTTCTTTGCTGATGTTCTTGTACAAATTGGTGCACTTCTTGGACTTCCTCCGTCCCCAAATCCTGTTACTGAGAAAATCTTTCAGTTGCCAAGCCAGAGTTAAAACAAATGATTCTGTGCCTAACAGTATTTGTCTAGCAGGCTATATTTTTTTCTGTGCTCTGGTTCTAAATTTACGCATTAGACAATACCTTAAGAAAAGTTCTCAGTGAGAAGAAATTAATTAGCTAGACCACTTACTGATGACATAAGAACAAAGGGAACAAACTTTGTATGTTTTCCAAGGTAATGATGTTTTGGATATAAGAGTGGAAGAAGGACTTGCTCTGTGCCCCAGGAATAAGATCACCCGCTCACTCCATGGATGTCTTTATGCATTTTGTAACAGATAAACTGAGAAGATTGATCAGGGATTGAAAATGGTGGCAATAGAGGGGAGTGTTTGTCCTGCCAAAGAGTCTAAGGCTGTGTCTGTGTTAGTATTTTGATTTGGAGGAGAGTTCAGTTCTGAAGCACCTCACCTCATTATCCCTATTTATCATACCAGTTGATTTGATTTTCCAGAGCGGTTTTGGTATGTGCAAACTAGGCTTCTTTCAAAGAAAACTAAATCATTTCCATACCTTGCATGCACCAAATGTTCTATAACCCTTCATAAGGACATAGGGATTTTACCAATTATCGGTCTTTTTGGTAGCTTTGAACACCTTGTGATAGTGTCCGTTTCAGGAAGCTGGACCAAGTTTAGCTTTAAATAAAAATCCTGAGCATCATATAGTATAGGTGTAAAAACCTCAGCTGTATTTTGATCTGTTCCGGTTGTACCAAATTGCTAATGCAGATATAGCTTAAAGCCATTTATTGATTTAAAAAAAAAAAAAAACAATTGGTAATGACAATTTGTCAGGGGATCTTACCCATGTCAAGTGTTTGGAGATGGTGATGTTTTCACATCTACTTCCATGACAGCTTGTATTTTGGGTGGAACTTGACTGCAGACCTTTAGATAAGTGCTGCATTATTAGGTGAGGTGCTATAAGGTGCATTTTGACCGTTTTTGCCCATGTTTTTGGTGTGACTGGTTTTACGGAGCAAGGGCAGGGGGAGAGAGCAGAAGATACAGCTTTGGAGTGTAATGGTGCTGCAGTTAGCTTCCTCTGGTGCTAAAATTATGATTACGGTTCAAAAGCCAAAACAAATATTTTATAATACGCATAATAACAAAAAGAGCCCTATCAAATTGGTCTTTTCCTTCTTGTATTCAGGAAAAGTCCACTGCAGTGTGTCTCCCCCTTTCCTGTGAATAGACGGGAACTCATTTCTCAGTGCTGAAGTTGCACGTTTGCTAAATCCACTAATTTTTGGATGTTGCGCTCATGTTTGAGTTTGCAATATGATCTTAAAATAAAAATTAATTCCTTGACAACAGAATCTTGTTACCATTTTTCTTTCAATGACTCAACCTCATTTTTAACTCCTCGATATCCTGTATTCTGTTTCATGGAGTCCTTTTTTACCTCTGCAGCTGCTTTTTTTCCAAACTGTCTGAGATTTCTGTGTACTTGAAATTAAAGATTTTAACCAGCTTAATCACAAAGCTGCACCAAATACATAGGACTGGCAGCACAAACAGCAGTCTTAGAGGAAATTAGTCTACTTTCTAAACCCTAGAAAATGGCTAGCTGGGGAAAAAATGTAGATGGGCTCAAACATTTGAGCAGTAAACTGAAGAACATGTCGATTCAGGCGTAAGTCAGAATATGTAAAGCTAGAAAGGTAGTGTAAGGGATTTGGTATTTAGTGGACATAAGAGATTAGAGAACCCATGATTATTTTTCATGATTGCATGTATTCAGTGCATTAGCTCAATAGCATTCTTTATAGTAATGTGCTATAAAGGCAACCTTGAAGTTGAGTTCACCGTAGTTGCTTCACCAGGTGGCAGGGATAAAGGAATTTGTGAATGCTGGCTACAGTGAAATGTGTTGGAAAAGGGCACTCCATAAAAATTAAAAGGCAACACAGAATTATCTTAGCTTTTTGAGTACTAGTATTTTAATATATTTTTTAATGATATTATGTTGATCCTGTACTCTAGCAAGCTTTGCTGTATTAAAATATGTTACAAAAAAAATCAATCTTGGGTTTTTCATTTTCCTCTAGAATTTCTGTAGGATTTAGCAAGGTTTTAATATTTACTGTGTCCTCTGGCTGTAAAACTTTCCTGTTCAGCAAGCACTTGGCAGGGAGATATACGGGGCAGTACTTCTCCGGCAGAGCAAATGACGGGGGCTGTCAGGTGACTGTAGCACCCCGGCAGCTGTCTGGGTTGCAGCCGGTGCCTTGCTGCCTTCTGCCTTCCCAGCGCGAGTTTTTTATCAAGCTCTTAAACGCTCAAGCAGCTATCAGCGCTGGCGAGGTTCATGGAAGAGATTATGCTTCAGGTCTTTTGGGTGATCCAATGGGAATCGCACTGATCTGGTGTTTAGCTCTGATCCTTATCAAACGGATTACTTTTAAGGTAGGCCATTTTATTGTTATGTTTTGACTAAAAGGCTGAGTATAAGTAGCCTGAGAGGAGACAAATCAAGAACTTCTCTTTGCAAGTGCTTATTTTTCTTTTTTTTAACTCTGTTCTGTTTTGGAAATATTCACAACTTAATGCTGTGTTTCTTAAGTGTTCTTGCATGATTTTGTAGCTCTCGACTTACCAAGCTTTTTTCCTTTTTTGAAATGTGAAGAGTGTGTTTGTAGCAGTGCCGGTTAGGAGACTGGGAAAAGTGATCCGAAATGGCTTCGGGATGACAGGGCTTTTGTTTACCTTCTTTCCCAATAAATCTTCAATTTTGTATCAATTTAAAGGCTTTGTGAAAATGAGGGAAAACAATTTGAAACAAAGTGAGAATAATACAAATTAGTGTGTGTTGCTTCCTGGACAGGATATCCTTTTTTGTATTGTTGATTTCAGGGCTACAGGAGTGGAAATACCAGTTCGGTTTGCTTAGGTGAAATACCAGCTACTTCTCTTACTTTGTAGTCTTTCAATTTCAGGTGCTTGTGTTCTGGAAAATGTGTGCTCGTGTTAGACAAAATTAGGAGTTCTTCCTAGGTCATTCTGAAGACTGTAAGGACTCGTATAATTTATAATATAATAGTAAACGTAGGTGACATTGGTGTCTGGAGAGAAGACCATTCTCCTTTTAGAGTAGCCCACTGCCCAAGTTGGAGTTGATACTAAAAGGTGTAGTAACTTTAAGTTTAGGATTGTGAAGGAAAGCTGGAACCATTGGAGCGAACGAGGGTAACTGTGAAAAAAAAATTACAGTTCATGTACATAGGGTTTTTTAAACTGTATACAGAATTTTAACATTTTTGTATCATTAATAAGAGTGTGAACAGACATGAATTTGCAGTTGTGAAAACGAGCTTTGCCAGGTATCTCTGCCCATACTCTTCAGTCAGTACCAATAGCACAGTCCTACAATTACTGAAAGCAAAAAAGTCAGTCTTAGTTGCTAGTAATTGTGATACCTTCGTCACATCAAGAAAAAGACTAGAATACATTAATAAATGCTCAGTTGTGACTGAAGGCAGATCCTAATTGCTAAAGTTTTACAACTGGTGCGCTAGCCTAGTGCGTCATCTGCATTTTGCTAGTATAGTTTTTTTTTTTAACTTTACACAGGAAAAGTTTGTAAATGTGGGAAAATTAGCAGTTCTAGGTAGCTGACATAGTACAATTAAGCGTAAAACTCTGTTATTTATGGTTGTGTTTTTAAGTACCCTAAGGGCTATTTCTTCTGAAGAATTGTTTTTTCTTGCTTTCGTCTAGTCATCCCACTTTACTATTGCATTTGTATCCTTCTGTCTTGACTTAGTTTCTAAAGATAATACTCATGTATTTTTCAGTCTTCACTTAGGTCACTTACTTTTTTCTAACTATACTATACTTTCTTTTCTGATCAGTTTTCAAGCTTTTGTTTTGTATGTTTTTGTTCAATCTTGAAGTTTTTAGCATAATAAAACTTTGGGTAAATATTCTGATGCTGTGTGCTACACTTGTGGGTATACAAGAGAAAACAGTGAGGCCAACTTTTAAAGATATTTAATAGATATAACTACTGTCATTCAAAGAATATCTAAGTTTATCAGTGATTATCTTCCATCCTGGGGGCCTGATGATATGAAACAGCTTTATATAGAAGAAAATATTAAAATTATGACTCTCAAAAATTTTGTTTGAACATACATAAAGCTAATTTTATTGCTATATAGCATTGCATTCCTGAAATTAAATATATTTTCTTATCTCTAGTTTGATAAACTTTCATAATGATTGATTTGAACTTCAGTGAAATATTTGTAAAGTAGTAGGACTTTTTTACAGTGGCTTCCCTCAGTTTAATGACAGTTTAAGTGCTTTAAAGGGGCATTTTCTACTACTTTGCTGAACAAAAACTTTTTTTAGTTTTATTTTGTGGAACGCTGGGGATCTGACGTTAGCATGGGATTCTTAATAATTCTAGGAATCACGCTAAATGACAGTCTCACTTTTGAAATATAATACTAGAGAAATCCAATCTAATTAGTTTGTCGTTCTGAGGGCTTATAGTTGCTAAACTGTCTTATACAGAACATTAGATTGTATTCAGGTGTATGTGTTTGATGCAGCTGAGTCAGAAAATTGCAATTGCTATAACAACTTCTCCAAATTTGGTCTCATTTTCTCCTTCTGCGAACAGTTGATGTCTTTGGGAAATAACTTAGAAAAGTCAAATAATTAAAATACCTGACTGGTTGTTTTTCTGTCCTCTGATATTTTTTTTTCTTTTTTCCCTCCAATATCTGAATAAACAGCTGAGTCACACTCCACCAAAAAATGTAGATTGTTTAATCCTAACAGGAAGCACTGAATTTTGAAGGCTGGCCACTTTTTTCAATTTATGCTGTTACAGAATGAAACCAGGAGTTGCTTCACTTGGCAGTCTGAGTACTGGCTAGCTGACATTTGCCAAAATTAACTGCTTAACAGTAATCCTGGTGCTCTGCTCGGAACTGGATTAGGAAGTCATTGTGATAAAACTGGTATCAATGGAAACTTTTCTGTTTGGTTTGAGCAGCAGCAGGTGCTCTAAGTGTTACATGTTTATGTTGTACTGCCTGGTATCACTGCGGTGGCTTCCCTTTGAAGACGTATCTGTGTGTTATTTTGGCATGTCATTTTTATTGCATGGCCTTTAATTTCCTATACTATTGTGAAAAGATTTTTCCAGAGAGAATTGACTTTACATTTCTGTTAGCAGATGCTCCCTTTGGCAGTTTTGGGGGAATGCTTTTATCATAGTAGTTCTTACGCTGTTAATGGATCTTGCACTTTTCTTTGAACCTCCTCCATTTCCATTCCATAAAGATATGATAAAACATAGGAGAAATGAAGGCTCTTCCATGTCCTTTGGAAGAATAAATGCCACTCAGATGAGAAGTTGAGATCTGTGATCAGATTTTCAAGGTGGAAGTCCCGTGCAACCCATTCTTTGACTTCCAAGTCTTTTTGACATCCGTCTTCAGTGCTGAAGCAAAACAGCCCACGCAGTTCAGTTTTGTACTTTTGTCTGGGAAAGATTGGAGGAGTAAAAACCTCACCAAATCATTTGAGGAATTTGTTGAATTGCTTTGAGAGCAACAGATGTTCCCACAGGATTGAGTTTTCTTTGTGCTTGAAAAGGGAATCTGTATGAACACATTAAAATTGTGCCCTGCTTGAGCACAAGTAGTTTGGTCTGCGTGGTGCAGGCGCTTACTTGTTTGACATTTGTGCAGGGAGTCAAGGTCTTCAGCGTGCTCTTACAGTTGTCAGTAGATACAAAGCTTGAGGTAGACCAAAAAGGTGATGGAGCTTTAGAAATCCTGTTTTACTGTAAGGGAATTCACATTATTTATAAAATAGAGCAAAGTCAGTGAAGAGAAAAGATAATTTTGATAAAATAATTTTACATAAGTTTGGACTTAAGGACTGACTTTCTATATCCATGATAGGAGTTAGACTTTCTTTGTTGAGAGTTAATTTTCATAGCCGTTCAGCCCAACTCAGAGTGCTTGTATGCTTTTTGAGGAGCTGTAAGTCAGCTTCTGCCTAAGTTTTTAGCCAGAGGTTTCTAAAGGTTAATTTAGCGTATGTTACAGTCATCTTGACTGTGTAAGTAAGGTAAATGTTTAGTATTATAGTCCTGATACCTCAATGTAGGCTACAGATAATAGGCCTCTTGTTAATGAAGAAGGAGGACTCATTTTTGATGGTCATCAAGGGTAGAATCTGGTTGACTTAAATTCTTTGAATTGTTGCAAACTTTACAGAAAACTTGTTTTTTTCAAGATTTGTTTGCCCTTCCACTTAAAAGTTGCTGCATGGGCCATTATCAGTAGAAGCTGCAGCATTAAATCTGTTTAATTTATAGGAATTTAAAAGTTGAATCTGAGCACAACATCTTACAGAACCGCAGCCAGGGTAGATTAAATAACTTCTCTGTTTTCCTTTTGTGAGCTGGTGCCTTTTTCTAGAACAGCGTAGGGTAGTGTAATGTAAATATGCTGACAGTGTAACTTAAAGCAATAAAATTGGTGGTATACTCTAACCCGCGGTACATCGTCTGGTATCGCCCGTTACCTATTGAGAACATGAGCTGACACAAAGCAGCGCATGGCTGGATGATCAGAGTGTTATGTTATTTATCTTCCTATCACTAGTTGCTAAAACCTCTGAACCATTAGCTCCCTCCTTTATCTCCAGTCGCCCCTCACAGTACTGCTAACTCTCCCTGCCTCACTGGTATGCCTGGTCTGAGGGTGTGAGGGCTGACTGCCCCTCACCCGCCCTGCATCTTTCCCTCCATGGAACTTGCTAACAGGTGTTTTCTTTGTCTGGCTATTTTATTTAACAGCATTTGTTTGAATCAAAGATCCTGAGGACGTCTACCCTTTTAGCAACGTTTAGCTGAAATTGTCCCGTTGCTTTCAAAGTTTTATTGGTGAGGCTTACACAATAAATTGCCTCTCTTTTTCCTTAGGAAACCAGACTTTGAAAGGTACTTTTAAAAGGTTATATTGGTCAAAGATTCTTACAAGAGCTTTTAGAGTCCTTGCAGAACTAAATGTTGTGTGAATGAGTGGGTTCCCTTTTTAAAAGTACGCTAATATGTTTGATATCGTACGTGGATTTATTATTTTAGCTAGCAAATAATATTTTTCAAGCTAACACATCAAAAGGAATTTATTTTTCAGTCGATGTTTCACAGATTGTTTTCCTTCTCAGAAACTACTGTCCCAGTTGGGTATGGTTCTTCCATCTGCGTGTGTGCTGAGCTTTCTCCTGTATTAGATTACAGAACTGTACTGGCCGTGTCAAGAAATCTGTGTGATAGACAGGTGCACACCGCAAGTCAGCACTAAATTACATTACTGATTGTCCCTAGTCAGTGCTGTGAAGTGTGCCAGGCTATTGAAAATACAGTCAGTTGAAATGCACTGAAATTCAAAGATAGGTTGTAGGAAGAAATATGAAAACGTTAGTGGGAAATCAGCATCGTTTTCTGACTGATGAGTTGCATTGCCAACTTTCTCATCGGGACAGGCGCGTTGCTGTGAGAAATGCTGTACAAACACATTTCAAGGGAAGGGTTATTTGCATGGTTGATAATCTTCCAGGGAAATACAGAAGAAAAGTGAAGACAGCATGAAAGTGCCGTACAAGAAGTTCTTCCCTGTAATCTTTATAACACCTCGTGTAATTGGACCCATTTGGAGTTAGGTCTTTGGTCATTCATGTAATTAAAAATTGGGTTTACCTCTGGAAAAACTTCTCCAGCTTCAAGCGTAAGGCTTTTTCTTGTTTTAACATGAAAAATATTCAAACAATTACATGCAAATTCTGGGCTTGGAGTCTAATACATTGTCAGTTGTGCAAATCATACTGATAGAGGTTATTAATCTCTCGTCTTTCTGTGGGTGTGTTCAGTTTACTTTATAGATAGATGCATATAAGTAATTTTCCCCTTCCCCTTCACCCGCGACTGATTATTTCTTTTATCTCTCTTACTTCCTTCTAGAATTCTTCTCAGTAGCCAACATCTATTTTCCTGTGTTGTTTCCTGACATGATTTGGTTCCCCATGTTTTCATCTCTTGAGCTTGCACGTTTCCAGGCTGCTGCGTGTCCCTTGGGTAGCTGTTCCTTCACAGAGGGAAAAATGGGTGTCCGCATTCACCTCCAGGGTGGCTTTGGTCTGCTGCTCTTACAGGGAGGGGTGCAATAACCAGCCACGTGGCCGTCTGGGGCATCATGCCCTTGATGTAACTAAGTGTATTGGACAAGAAAAAGTCATATCAGTTTTTAGAAAAATTTCATATTTCTTTGAAGAACAAATGTTGTGGACTGGCAAAATTGAAGTCAGATTGCGAAGGTGATCCTCCAATCCTAGGGTTAAGAAATAGCATAGGCTATAGGCCATAGGGTGAAAAGTAGCAAAAGATAGAGAAAATACAGCAAATGAAAGAAGAAAAAGGCATCTTGCCAAGAGCTAGGTTGTGCAGAGCTTTGAAGACTATGTAAGTTGAAATTAACATTAGAGATGATAAAGGGAAGAGAAAAATTAGTCAAATAAATGTAAGCGTATTTTTCAGTTGCTAGCAGTGCAGATGATCTTCTTGTGTTTTCATTTTATGCTGACAGAAGGAGATGTGGAATAGAAAGCAAGAGGTTGTAGTGTTTTGTAAGTGGAAAATAAATTGTATCTGTGGTTTTTCATACAGCCTTATGACGCATGAGGCCAGTGTTGTGTAACTGGGAGAATGTTCCCCCAGTTTTTAGCTATTACAGCACCAGTTCACCATGCTCACGGGCGGCTTCTTGAATTATAACTGTTAAAGCATTAGCTTAATGTATATGGAACTACAAGGAATATTTTATGTAGATAAGAAATACGTCCTATTTGGGAGTCTCCCAATGTCCTGTGCAGATATTTTGATAACTCTTTAAGACCTTTATCGTCAAATGTGAAAATACCACTTGCTCTGTTGTTTTAAAATACCTGTACGCGTTACCTCTGGCTTCAATGGTCTCTTGATTTGCCTGCAGAAGGTACTGGGTGGAGTGGATGTCACATGGGCCAGCCAAGTCCCACCCTTGCCGAATATACACTGAATTCCTAGGAGAGCAGTTAAGGTGTCATTCAAGTTCTTTTACTTCTTTTTAAAGCAATTTCAGCTTTGAAAGAAGAAAATAGCCCATGATTAAAAATAAATAAATCAATTACAAATTACAAGCATTTAAGAATTACATTCTAGAAGGTCATTAGGAGCATATTTTTGCATCTGATTAATCTTGTTTCGTGTTGTTTTCATTGTGGGAAATGATTGAGGAGCATCTAAAAAAGAAATGTCTGTGGGTATTGTTTCCATACTCAGTACTACCAGATCTGTTTCTTGTAATCTCTTTGCTCAGTTCCTGTCCTTCCTTTGTCACCCCTATAACAGCCTGAAACAACATCAGAATATGTAATTGAAGGATGCATCACCAAACTTTCAAAATTAATTTTGATAAGTAAATTGGAAATGGACAATTGATATTGTATTCTGTTTTAGCTTAATTTAAAAATGGATCCATTTTAACTTGCATAAAATACACTTTTTTTCTTCCCTTTTTTTGATAGAGACGTGGAGCGATTTCCTATGACAGCTCTGATCAGACTGCGTTGTACATTCGTATGCTAGGTAAGCATACCAGTTCCTCTATTGTAAAGTTGTAACTTTTGTGATTGTTTTAAAATAATTGTTTATTAAATTTGAATATTTATATATTGTAATCTTAAACATAGCTTGGTCTTTCTCCTGGATAATATTTTGGTTAAATTCTTTACAAGTTTCTTGTTTCTTTTCGTGTTGATTTGGGTTTTTTTTGTTTGTTTGGCTTTTTTTCCTCTTTTTGAATGGACCGTTGCATCTGATATTTTTCTCCTACATATATTTAAAAAAGCGATGGTTCTAGTAATTAATCTTGTAATTAGTTTCCACAGTGACACTAATTTTGGGTGAGACTTAATACGCTTGTATTTGAGTAAGAACTTATTTTTACTTTAATAAAGTATATTCTCACCATTAAATGTATATTGCCAATAGCGCAGCATGCATTTCTGTTGCAACAGTGTCGTTCATCCTTTATTCGTGATGGATCTTTATTTCTGTTATGGAATTTTTTATCACCTCTGCATGATGATCCAGTTAAAGCTGCGTAGCTTAGAATATTTTTGTGTGAGAATTACCAGGCACTTTGAAAAATATCAGTACTGAAGCTATGAAACGCTCAAATATTCTTAAAATAATAATATGGCTTTAAATGATGCTGCTCTTATTAATTCTCAGAGGTAACTTGAGAAGGGAAAGGCAGGGCCAGTAGTCAGCAACTAGTAGAATGTTTCCAGAGTCGTAGATGGATACAGAGTAAAGTCTGATTAAAACGGAAGAACGGTATCGGGAGGAGCAACCGTCAGAAGCCCTCTGCAGTACTGACTGCGCAGAGGAAGGAGTTGAAGCTAGCGACTGAGAAGAGGGAGATGCAGAGCTCTCGCACGTCTCGCTGCTGTGCTAAGCAGATACTGCTCCTCTCCTGGAGGCTACTGCTGGTGCGCGTGGTGTGAAGGACTGTGTAAACGCTCCCAGGCTGTTTCACCGCAGAATCATGGTGCTTAGTTTAAGCGATCCTCAGCTATGGTTTTGTGTTGAAATGGACTATGAGTGCTTGCATGTCTCATGCAGCTCAATGAACACAAATAGCCAGGGATTGTAAATTCTTAACCTGCTCTGACCAGATCAGCATTAATACGTCTTTCGGTGCCCGGTTTGTTTCGATTTAGTTGTATAGTGTGCATATTGGGAAGAGTCCCCAGCAATTCATAGCTGTGGTCTCTCTATGAATTCATGGTCGTAAGGTAAATGTATATGTATGTATACATCTGATTATATATAAATTTATAGTCATAACCGATCTATGTAGGCATATGCATGTGTATATATGTGTGTGTATACATATATATAAATTTTGACTTAGCATCCTACATTTTTGTTTTTCAATTATTTATTCTTTTAAGTTTATGAAATTAACACTATAGGACTGATTATCCACTAAAGAATTTTTGATATGAGAATGTAATTACTTTAGAGACTTGTTAAGAGGACATGGATCGAAAATGCTGGCTTCCAAATGTTTATTGAAAAAAGGTGCTAATTTGTTTTTCTGGTTAGAGGTTTTGTTTTCAAAAGTCAAAATACCTTTTTTTTTTTTTCAAGCACCCTTTTTGGCAAGATGAACAGTAGAATTCTCCAAAATGTGATTGTTTCTTCTGCTGTAGTCATAAGAGTAAGAAAGTAAATTCAGGCCTGAGGTAGTTTGTTTCCTTGATTTTTGTGGTTTTTGTTTTTTAACTAAGTTTATTTTCTGCTTCAAAATCATAGAAACTGAGTACTTCTTATCTCCCAACAAGGGAAATATGTATTTTAAAAAAAAAACTTTAAAAAGCTTTTTAAAAAGCCTTGATATGCTTGAATTAAAGGTGCTGTAAGTGTATGTTTTATCAGTTACTCTAAGTATATAGTTTTTATTACTTTAAAGATAATCTGCTAATGGTAAAAGTTCAGCTTGTAAGACAATAGTTCTTAGCGTGCGTCTTTTGCTGGTTCGCGAGTTTAAATCAGTTATATCATGAAGTAGGTTAGCCCTTGATTGCTGCTGAAAATTTTTCAGTAATGCTCAAGTAAATCTAAAGGAAAGCAAAGCATGACTTTCTGTGGTTCTTTGTATATATAATTGAACTGCGGGAAAAATCTAACTTGTTTTGAAATCTTTCTTTGTTAACTGCTCTAATAGGCAGAACTGGAATACATTCAGAAAGTGTGTATGCAAACATGTTGAGTAAATTGAATCTTCACTTGTTATCTGATTGGAATGAACTTACTAGGCGATGTGATTTGAACTTATTATGAACAGCATAACTTGCTGGTATTTTTGTTTAATAAAGCTAGCTGTTCAGAGTTAATAAGTCTTTAAAAGAGCTGACGTTTTCTAGCTTCTGCTGGAGGGAGGGGGGTACAAACAAGCAAACAGAAAATTGCTCATTAGACGTTTGAATTAATATGTTAAATACGTATTATTTGCTCACTTGTTAGCGATACACTTTGTATTCCAGACGTTAACTGCACCATACTGTACAAGTCAGCAACTATTTACAGATTTCTTTAATTATGATTGTATTTATAAATGGACTGTAAAATAAAGACCAGCCTGAAAGCTGAACAGTTGAATACACAGTTACGCAGAAGAGTTGTTATCAAAGTAGATTGAAAAGCACATTCAAAAGCACATATATTTGATTAGATTTTTTTTTCCTGGTGAGAACTGTGAAGTGTTGCGTTTCCCATACAGTCTTTCCTGTAGTTGACTTCAGCAGCGTAAGCTGCGAGAAATCCTCAGCTGTGACTTAGGGGAACGTTAGGCGCAGTCATGAGACGTTTGCGTTTTACTTGATTGGTCATTAGTCCGAACAGTCTAAATCTACTAATATACTGTAGCTGAATAAGGTGTACAATTTAGCATATCAAAAATATAAGACTGAAGTTACCTAGGACACCTCCCTCTGGCTCTGCTTAGTCGCACTGACCGGAGAATTGCTTGCTTTACAGGTAAGTTTTCAAGCTGTTCAAATGGGAATCCAATGGAAGCTCGTTTGCACCAAGTGAATAGAAATTACTGTGGTATGGCAGGGTTTTTAGCTTAAACTTAAAAGATCAAATTTTAGAGGCATACAAAATAAGCAACAAACTCCTAACTGTCTTTATCAGTGTCAGTATAAACAAACAGTGTTGGCTGTAATGACTCCTCTCTCATACCCCATTCCTAAAATATATCCTCAGTCACTCCTAAGTGACTTACTTACTATTTTAAAATACAGATACAGATGCAGCATTGCAGAATTTTTCTGGTAAGATCTTGGAAGGAATAATATATCTGCATCTCCTCAATCAGCTGCTACTCTCAGCAACTAGGAGGAGTTCTCAAGGTTTCTTTTAAGTGCTTCTGTGGCGTTGTAACACTTTCTTCATTTTTCCCTCTGCTTTGTGTGTGTCTGTTTTGAAAGTTTGCTGCTGTACATGGGCTGGAAAAAGTGGGCACTGACTGCCTGCATTGGTGAGCATGCACTTAGCTAAAACCTGGAGCGTTGCACCCTGTTCGTAGACATCTTGATCGGAATAGAAATTTGAATAGAAACCAGGGGAGGCAAACAAATGTGTAATGCAGGTGCACACTCTTCTCTGGTAGCAGTTATTACGTTGTACTCCTCTTGCTTTAATTCCAGTATACTCAGCTGACCTGTCATCTGTTTCTCCAAGAAATTTAGTCTGAGCTTAACCTATGAAGCTAGTCCTTCGTGCTGGAAATCCTGCTCTTTGCAACTTCATGGCTTTGACTTAAGCGTGGGTGGTTTACCTTGAGGTGACTGTGGTAATTTCTGCTCCCAGCTGTCTGCCGCGCTCTCCGAGGTCTCCGCAGCTGCCGCATTGTTACCGTTTCGGGCTGGACTATTCGGGTAGCCTGAAATACGTGCTGTGTAACCTTAACGTGCAGGGATGCAAACTATGGCATTTCAGCTGCCTCGCAAGTGTCAGAGCTGCCCTTGCAGCGTGGGCAGGAATGTGAGAGAGGCGTAGAAACTAAATGAGTTGTGTCAAGGTAAGTTTTGCTAAAGCCCGGATTGTTTTTCAGTTTGCCGTTGTACCTGTGAACCGCCGCCTTACAGCCCTTCTTACGTTATTTATTCATCCTTCGAAGGAGTTTCTCCCTTTGTCGCCTTTGTCTTCAAACTGCAAGCAATCCTGGTCGCACAGGACTATTCCAGAAAAGAACTGTAGCTGAATACACAGCCAGAAGGGATTTTGTCTTGCCTGTGTGCAAAATCAGATTTTGAAATGAAAGGCTTTACTCCTTTTTTTTTTTTCCTTCTTTCTTCTGAAGAGAGTAAAATTTGTTTTTACCTTTCTCCTCTTGATTCTTTGCATTCACTGAAACTCCCCAAGAGAATAAAATTAATTTCTAGAAGTCTGCTATCATTAAGATGGTGGATTTGAATTTGTTCCTTTAAGAAAATACAGGAACTACTGCAGGGACTACAATTTGATTTTTAGTAGAAATATTACCTTTTTTTTCAACATGGCTGAGCTGTTGTAAACTTCAGATTAAGTGGCTAAGGAAGAGACATTTAAGCAGATAGTTGCATTTCTTAGGTCAAATCTGCTAATTTTTTGGATATGGCAGCCTTCTGTCCGTGCTGCCCCACCAAGGAAATACTACCTGTAAGCAAACAGAGCTATCTCATGGTTTCATCAGATCTGTAACCCCCCCTAAGATCTTAAAAGCCTAAATAAAGAAAAGTTTGTCATAACTTCTTTAGGTATTAAATTTAATTACCCTTTTACTTACTATAATAACAATTTGGCCCTGGTGCTGTTTTAATAAATTATGTAATAGTATCCTTTTATTTGGTAAAAGTAATTTTGAATCTGAAGTCTTTTATGCCTTTCTTCTTAAAGTGGTCTGTGATGATAAGCATCTTTCTTCTGTAAGATTAAATTCTGTGTCATTTACCAGGCACAGGGTTAAAAAATTCTTGTGCAGGCTTTCTCAAGGAAATTAGTGTAGGTTATGTTCCGTGCAAAAACAATGAAGTGACTGCATTTGGGATATATTGATATTGGCAGATTAAATCAGGCGGACAGTGGATGCATACTGATGGCCCACTATTTCTGTTTTGGGCGTAGCTGCATATGTGCAGTAGAGTTATTCTTACTGCGCTCCTGCAAAGCACGTGAGTCCAGAGTGTGCAAACGCGCGCTCAGTTTGATGCTATTCATCTTTATGCTCCCGTACGTGTTAGAAATCCCAGGTGTGATGTATGGTGTCTTCAAATTCCACCTGAAGAGATCTTTTCCAGACTATTTTTTTTTGTGTCTGAAATCTTGAACAATGCAGTAGTCATACACAGTGCCAGTGGAGATTGCTCTTCCGCCTTCCCTTTTGGCCAATAGGAATTTCTGCTTTTGTTTCCTGAGACAAATTCCAGTCCTGTAGAAGTATTATTTTTTTCCAGAATTCCATAATAATTCCAAATGTATTCTAAAATGTTGCCTATTATTAAGAAATCAATTCTTAAAAAAAAAAAAAATCCATTTTCTACCACAACCAAGGAGAGAGAATTTTATTTAACAACTGATGAAAATATTTTGCTTTCCTTAGCTGAGAACTTTTTTACTTCATACATATACAAGTCAGTCTTTTAATTTTACCTGCATCGTACTACTATCACCTTTTTTCTTTTCATTGTCTTCTGTGTGCATTTTTAGTACATCATTTCTTCTCTTGGTTAACTCTTCCTGAAATACATATTTTTATAATTCCTGTCAAATGCGGTTTCTGTCGTTGCACTTGTGCATTTCACTTGTAGTCGAGTTTTTGTTTGTTTTCTCACTCAAAATCCACTACATTGTGGACATTTCAAGAGGAATAGGACAGTGTTATTCTGGCTGTGCTGTTAGACTAGGTCATGGGAAATTAAAAAGCAGAACAAAACTTTCTGGGTATCACTTGTCAGATAAACCTGTCTCGTTGTTGTTACTCAGATAGTTTTCTCTGAACTGTCTCCTTTATTTTCCTGACTTTTTCTGTTCTTGACACTTTGAGCAAATGAATTGTTCACCAAGACCAAAGTTGTATATTGATTTACAAAAGTTACATCATCTTTCCTGTCAAAAATTAAACAAATACTCAACTAAAAAGCTAAAAACTCAACTCAACTAAAACTCCCTTTATTTATTATTTTCCTCAGCTGCGCTGGTGAACTGAAAGATCAATCAGTAACACAGGCTGTAGTTATGACTAGTCAGGCAGACAAATAATAAGTTAAGAGTCGTGGATAAGGTAAAGCTGTATCTTCTTATGTGTAATCTAATACTTTCATACACAACTACTAATGCACTTACCTCCCATTTTCCAAAATTTCCTCCTTCTTCCTTTTTATTCATTATTTTGTAAATAATATTTGCCAGTTGTCTTTGTGCCTACCAGGAGAGTTCTACAAATTGCTGCCTCTGTACTGTCTGTCTAAAAGACAAGCCTCTTGCCTCTGCTCACCTGAATGCTTGACCTCTTTCTACTTTGATACATTGTTGGTGCTCTGCAAAATAACTTTTACAGGTAGTAGTTGGGTTACTTACCCTTGCAGCTCTGTTAAGGTTTTCAGCTTCAAAAAACAAAAGAAGGAATAACTGGAAACCGCCCACATTTGGTATGGTTTTAACTGATATGGGATGTTCTGATATACAGGGAACCCTGGGTTTATTTGTCTTTTGTGGTGCTTCCAGTGTGCCTCACAAAATAACATTCATGTGAAGTGTGTCTCTATAGATATGTCTGTGTTTCTAGATATCTCTCTTTAGAAACTTATCTGTTAAGTGTTAAAAAGTATATTACAACAATTTTGGACAGTATCTTCAGCTCTTCTTCTGACTTAGGTTGTCTGCTCTTTGTTTTGGTGATACGCTTTAGCATTACAAATTAAAATGTTGGAAAAGAAAAGAAAAAAGCAGTTTCAACATGTTAGAATAGTTGCTAGAAATGAAATAATTATATTTTTATTTTGTTCTTACAAATTCAATCTTAGTACCTAGCATTAAATCCTTAGTTTTGATTCATATTAAAATCACTGTATTTGAGGCGTATAATAGAAATTTCAGAGGCAGAAGCAGCAAGAACACTTTCACATCTTAACTTTGACTTTGTTGGAGTTTGAAGGGGAAAATACTATGCATTTGATCCTCAAGGGTCTGCCCAAATTTGTAATCACTACAAGATTTCAAGCAAAAGCTTGTAATCAAAGTGAACTACTTTTATTAATGCATACAAATAACTAAGGAAAGAATACTGATCAGCTTTCAGTTGGTAAAATGCATAAGTAGAAATCAGCTAGCATGGTAAAAGATTCAGGTTAAAGCTAATTGCAGTGAAAAATAGTTTTATAAAATTTTAATATGGAGTTTTGGTATTTTAATAGGCTCTTGTGTAATATTCAAACAGCTGAGCCCAAGTAAGTAAATGCTAGTGGGAAATGTTCTATTATGTAATATAAAACCGTATTATAACTAGCTTATTTGCTGAAAGCTACCATTTCTAGAAGCTGAATCTTTTTTGTACTATACAATTGTTAGTGTTTTATATGTGTTATTGAGAAACAAATGAACTTTTAATGTTCTTGTTCACTGCCACATTAAGGTGGCATTTTTACCCTGCTGGTGTAGCATGCTGTTCCTAATTTGATCTGAATGCTTATCATATGCTTTTGGCAACATATGCTTAGGCAGGAGAGATTTTGACCAAAAAAAAAAAAAAGCATGCAATTGCATGTTTAACAAGTCTTCAAACTTTGTTTTGAATTTCACCTTTAAAACAAAAAGCATTGAAATAGGTCTATTGTATGAATAAGCTTACTCCCTTAAGTACATGAATCTTTACCCCTCCAGGCTATGTTCATTTGCATTTTATCTCTGCCACTCTTCCACACTTTTATTTCACTCTTGACCCTGTTTCTAGGAGATGTGCGAGTAAGAAGTCGGGCAGGATTTGAAACAGAGAGAAGAGGTTCTCATCCATACATTGATTTCCGTATTTTTCACTGTAAGTATTTAAAAGTAGATAAATGACAAATAAACAAAGGCTTCCATAAATTTTAACTGTTGAGCCTCTAAAAATAAATTTAGCTGCTTATGTAGCAAGATCATTTTTATACTTCTTAGGAAAATCTTTCATGCTACTTAATTATCCCAAAATAGAATAGTAAAATCATCACTGCTAAATTTTTGTTTCTAAAAATAGAGTTTAAACTCTCATTTATAGAATTTAGACCTGAGTCTCTATGGAAATTAAGACTATCCTATATACAGCTACTGATGTGTGCACTGAATAGTCACTTGGAAGACACAATCAGTTGAGAGGAATACTTCCTTGCTTTTATAGAGCAGCAGAATAATCTGCTGCAGGATGATATTTGAAGAGAATTGCAGTAGACTTCAATATTCTTGACCAGAAAATAATCACTTAAGCTTATATTTACTCAAACATGTAGTTAGGACTTAAACTTTTCAGAGGTAGACAAATCTAAAATAAAATGTTATAAGAAGACAGCAGACTTTAATTAATTATGGGCTTTAGGAAACACTTTTTCTCAGAGAAGTGTTGTAAAAAGAATTTGTTGGATAATTTTATTTTTTTCTATACATCTACATTGTTATAACTTAATATGCCAGTACGACTTGTAATATAAATGCTGCAGTAGCCACCACACCTGAATATGCAGCAAAAGTGCAGGTATTTAAATCTTATTTTAATGATGCCATAAACATTCATGTATTAAGTGTCATTTTGACATACTTATACCCGCATTACTTGTGTAAATACAATTCTGAATATTCTGAGTGCAATGGAGAGATGTGCAAAGAGTATGTGAAGTGTGGTTGTTTTAAGTACCTTAATGAATAAAAAAGAGTGGCAGAAACTATGCTGATTAATATTCTGACCTTAAGTTATTCATTTTTAAAGTAGATCATGACTTAAATGTAAAACTTAAACTCTTAGCTTCTTTCAAAAAGTTAGGTTCATAAAATAGGTGAGAAAACAAAGTTTGAAGAGTATGATATACTGAATTTTTCAATAAAGAGGATAAGGATTCTGTCTCAAGCAGTCCTTTCAACAGCTCGTAATTCTATTGAGTTATAGTAAAATACTCTGTGGAAACAGCATGCAATTTATGAATTATATAGGAAAAAACTGACAAACTTATGAGACATTTCATGCTGATATAGGAAAATAGCTATGAAATGAACTGTGCGCATTAAAAAGTAGTCGTGTGTGGGATATTATTGCCATTGTCAAATTACCTGTGTTTTTTTATCGTGCTCATCATGCTATTTCCATTCTGATGATTGTCCATCAGGCAAGTCATGACTAATAAGGAAAAGGATTTCTCACACCCTTTCTTCTTGCCTCTACTTGTTCAGGCACAGGCACCAACTTTTAGCAACATCAACTGCGGTTTCTGATGACAGCGAAGAATGTTGCTAGGAGGCCCAAAAATTCTTTGGCTATAACTTTTCTCTTGAGTCAGCTGCTGTGGCAGCTTTCAGAGTGGCCATGTTATAGCCATATTTTGTGTACCTCAGGACTGTGGCCAGTTGCAGTGTTGCTCTTTGACTTCAGACTTCTGCTACTTGTAGAGAGTTCCTTTCCTGGTAGATAAGGAAGTCAGCGCCTTATCCCACCCAAAATGAGTAGCTGTAAACATAAGATTATCTGTTCATTTACAGAAATAGTAAAAAAAAGGAAAGCAAACATATCCCTATACCGAAACCAGTAAAATCTTTTCCTTCTCTCTGCAATGCTAATTTAGTCCTGATTGGAGATTCCTTAACTGTTTTAAGCAGAAGAGTTTTAGTACTTCACTATCAGGCTGGAAGGAGAGAAGCGTTGTGAGACTCAGATTTGACCTCATTCTTAGGATCCTCATTTTTGTCCTCTGGTAACTCCAGGAGGATTTTGCACATACAGCTAAGTGGCTGAAAAATGTTCTACCTGTATTAATAATAGACAGCATGTGAGCAGAGCCAGCCAGCTTGCCATTTCTTTGCTTGAAGCAAAACGTGGCCTGGAAGGGGTCTCTTCTGCAGCTGAAGCAGCCTGAGGCATCTGAATGCGTTCTTTTTTTTTTTTTTCTCCACGACTACTGAGTGCTGAACATCAGTAATGCATGGATATGCTTCCTTCGTGCTGTTTGTCAAGTTTCACTACATCTTTCTTCTGCTGTTGAGTAACTTTACTGTGTCGTTCTAAAAATTTTGCAGTGATCGTTGCTTACGTGTTTCCAGATCACTAATATGTATTAAATACACTGGTTATTGTTCACAAGGTTGGAGCGTTATTGCCATTTTGTATTTTGCTCAGCCAATTTGTTGTTTTCCTTTATTTTCTTTTTCTCTCAATGACATTTTTGAAGAACTTCAAAGTCTGTCAGAAAGTCCAGCTAATAAACTGTTGACCACTGCTCTTTTTCCAGTATTTCATTAATAGACTTTTTTTCTATGAAGTACTCATTTATGTTTCACAATTCTGTCTTTATTTGCAACTTCAACTGGTGCCAATTACCAAAGTAAAGTTTGTTATCGTTTATTTCTTAGGATCACATCTATTCCTTCTTAAGGATTAGACCTCAATGTCTGTACTTTTCTTCCCGTTTCTGCATCTTCATTCCAGAAATCCTTAAACGGCACATGAATATTCAGGCTCCTAAATTAGTTAGAAGTATTCCCAACCATAACTTCTTTTTAGGAAATTACGTTTTAAAACAATTATTGGAAAAAAATCTCTTTTTCTTGTTGGAGATAGTAGTATGAGAGTCAAATATGAGGATTATTAAATCCAAAATTGGCCAGAAAATCAGATTAATTTGGGTTGTAAATTTCCTTTTACCTTACCCACTATTCCAGAAGCCACATTTTGATGCGTCATTGCAGGAACCAGCCAGAAGGAATAGCTCAGTGAACAGATTTTGTTTGAACAGGTCTGCATACTGCTGAATGAGGAAAGTCAGGATTGTATTCTTTATGTTGATTGGTAGATAGTTAATATTGGGACACCAATTAGTCGTTTATCTGTTACTGTAGACTGTAGATTGTGTCTGTTTTGGACCATAGGCACAAGCTCAAGTTACTAGCTAAAAGCTACCATTTGTGGAGAGGAGAGAGCAGCCACATAACTCTCTTCCTCTTTCTTTTAATATAATGGTCTGGTTTTTCTTCAGTGAAGTAAATTGCATGCACTTTAATATTTCATGGAGTTGAAGTTAGAGCACTGGAATCTACCTTGCGCTCTTCAGATAGCAAGGAGATAGTTTGGCAGTTTACTGTCTGACAACCCATCATGTACTCTTTGGTTTCCAGGGACATTATTTGAAAAAGTGATTGCAGTGGTTATGAGCGTTCTTGTTCTCTGCAGATTTGTAAACAGACTACACCTAATGTGATTATGTTTAATTTTTTTTTTTTTTACATTTTTTAGGACAGATAATAATTCTGTCTGGAATCTATTGACAGATTATACCGATAAAATACTAATGCAAAACAAAATCTGTGTGAGAAGGATTGGTAAATAACAGCATATGAATGTTCTCTGCTTTCAGAAATAGCAAACAAGAAATAAAATTTTAGGGTTTTTTTCCTCGCTATTGAGAGGTTATCAGTAATGTCTGTTGTTATTACGTATATATATGCTTAACCCCCCCCCCACAAATCTCTTGTTAATTAACTTTATGAAGATTTCTAGCATGCACATACAAAAGAATAGGTAATGTGCCCCCATCACTCACTGTTTGACCTGAAAGAAGTTCAGCTGAAGTGCCCAGCGATCTCTGGGTTACAGCAATATGTTACAGTGAGGAAATGAAGCCAGAAGATCCTAAAATGAAGAATTAAAATAAAGAATGGCAAAAAGAATTTGGTAAAGTGTCTAGTGCAGCTGTAACTTAATACTTTTAAACTTGTCTTTTAGGGTAAGGTTGTTGGCTATATCCTGGAAGAGCTGTGTAAAAACACGTACTTTAGTCTTGTGGAGAGGAAGCGTTTTCTCTTCTTGCCTTTCCTGTTGTGCCTTCATCAGAATAGATAAGATCCTGTCAAAAGCCTTTTAGAATTCCCTGGTAGCACTCTTGTCTGAACATACCCCTCCTGGGTGATGGTGATGTTGCCAGCATGTGTAGCTCTGCTTTGTGTTTGATAGATAACTGAAAATGTCACATCTGTGAGTTAAAACATGTTAGCAATAAGAAAGGGTTTTTGAGTTAATCTGTGCACAGTTAATCAGTAAACATTTAGGAATGATTCAGGTTTGAATTGAATTGGTGCTAGCATACAGTACAGAGCTTCATACTGGAGAGAAAACAATGTGATAGGAACTTCATTGTGATATGGGATTTTTTGTTTGTCTTTGTTTTCCTTGGTTATGTATGGAGCATTTTTAGAGGAGAGAAGGAAAGAAAAGCTGAGTTTAGGTGACTTTCATTGGTAGCAGATGAATCTTATTTCTCTTAGAAACAGCAATACAAACACATGAAGAAGTTACAGAGTTGATTTCTAGTATAAAACTTTCAAACTACTTGCTTGGAAATTCCAGTTCACAGAACATTTTATCTACTACTTTGAGATCTGGCAAACATGCCAGCATCTGCTGTTCACAATGTGATTTTTGAACTTTCTCATTCCTAGCACAGCGATGATTGAAGAAGGAGGGAAAAGCTCGTTCTGAAGAGATTTCTCTAAAACCTGCCTTTCTGTGACAGGTGCCTTCTGAGTTTGTCATCTAATTATTCATAATCTAGATTATTAAAATAATTTCCTTCCTCCATACGAGAGAAATTTTGACTTTTGTTTAGTGCAGTGGATGCAGTCATATGTGGGGAAGTCATAAAAGCCTGTTCACAGAAAATGTTATAAATATAGTTCTGGACAAAAAAAAAAAAAAACCCAGCTAAGCTAAATTTGAAGTGAAAATATTCATGAACTTCATTAAGGAAAATTGCAGGGCAAAGGCTTCCAATAAGAATATGGGACAGGTGTGAGGGTTTCTTGTTT